CCTGCCATAACGACTACTGTACTGTGTTTTCAATGCATGTACGATGTATGTGTTTGTGTGCAGATGTAGGATCTTAATTTGATCACCCAGTTGCAGGAGAACTGTCATGCAATGCAGGAATTTTTTTTTACTGTATTTAAGGACTTTTTAAACCTGTATTTGAGGTTTAAAAAGGCTTCTGAAGTTTGTAATTTCCACTTTGAAATGTCAGACTTGAATTCCCTTATGAAACATGTATCAACCCCTACCAAAATGTCTGTTAATTATAATCCATATAATAATTCAAATGTCCTGTTTCTGCAGGATTATTCTCCTGTTGTAGTAAACTGCCTCAAATATAGATCCTACATCTGTGGGACTTAATTCAGCCTTAGGGTAGAACATTTAGTTACATCACTCTGAAATGTTATGCAGTGAAGAATGACAAGACATTATCACAACTGTCTAAGAAACATGTTAGACATCGTGCTAGTACCACATAACTTGAACGTTCTGCCTCAAGCCTATGATACATGATGCCAAAGTAGAGATTGGCCCGTGGCATTACTGGCACCAGTCACTCTGCTTTCCTACAACATAACTTTAGTGTACTCTTGAGACACTGTGTTGCTAAATTTTACATTTTAGATTTAAAAGGAATGTCTATGAAGAGCTTTTTCTCTGAGTAACTGCTTAAATTCAAGAAACTTTTAGTCAGACTTACAGTAAATAACTGGAAACCGTACCATATATAAAATGTATGGATGCTGATACATTTCTCAGCTCATCAGAGATTTTAGCCAAAGAAATTCAATTTTCACTCCATGTAAAACCAATTGTTTTGGCCTATACCAGACATCCTTGGCTTACTTGAATAATTTCAACAAACAACATAATTCCATGGATATATGATACAAAATATTCCTAATGTTAATATTCCAAATTATAGAACCTCTCAGGCCACTGAAAACAGTGAACTGCAGTAATTGGAAGAAGAGGCCCATGCATGTGGCTTGAGCAGTGCGGGAGCAAGGAATGACATTGATATAGAGTGCTCCATTAATTGCCATATGAATAAGGTCCACAGCCGTTGCCTCTCTGCTGATGCATCACTGTAAAAGAGATGGGTCACTCTGTCTTCTCCGGCCCATAGCCTTGCCAAGCTCATAATTACTAAAACCTCTAATTAATCTTCCCATCACCGGCCAAATACAGCTTCCTACTATATAAATGAGTTAATGTACCTGTATATGTTTAAGTGTGGGTGGGTGTGTGCATGGGTGATAGTGAGGGAGAGAGAGAGAGAGAGAGGAGAGAGAGAGAGAGAGAGAGAGAGAGAGTAGAGAGCGAGAGAGAGAGAGTAGAGATAGAGAGAGAGGAGAGCGAGAGAGGAGCAGAGATCCTCAGAGAGGACTAGAGAGAGAGAATCTAAGGATCCCTCTCTCTCGTCGCTAGAGAGATCCTCAGAGAGAGAGAGAGAGAGATGGCTGTCTGTGTTTTAATTCCTGGGTCCATATAGATACTTCAAAAGGAAACTACAGAACTAGCTGTGCCGGCCTGTTTAAATGAAATAGAAGTGATTGATGAATATACAAACCCTCCCTTTCATTTCCTGAATTTCAGGCCACTGCGGGCAATCTGGCTGCCTATCCCTAAGTATCGCTACTGACGGATCACAAGGGCATTCATAATAACGTTCCTCCTCATCTCACTGATGGCAGTCGGACAGAATAGGACATGTTGTGACACTCTGGTCGGGGTCTTGGCTCTTTGTGTGTGTGTGTGTGTGTGTGTGTGCGTGCGTGCATGTGCGTGTGTGTGTGCGTGTTTGAAAGACACTGTGTGCTACTGTGTGCATGCATGCTTGTGTGTGTGAGAGTGTGTATTTCTGGCCCTTTTCCATATGAGGCGTATCCACAGTCCATACACTCTACACCAGGGTTCTTCAACTCTGTTCCTGGAGATCTACCATCCTGTAGGTTTTCACTCCAACCCTAATCAAGCGCACCTGATTCTACTAATTAGCTAGTTGATAAGCTGAATCAGGTTAGTTACAACTGGGATTGGAGCGAAAACCTACAGGAGGGTACTCCTCCAGGAACAGGGTTGGAGATCCCTGGTCTACACCCTGCTCTTTTCTCACTAGCCCTGCCCTGTGTCAAATCAATGGCACTCTACTACCACCTAGTGGAACACAACGTAACAGCAGCCACCTGGGGCAAGACCGTGAGAGGAGGAGAGGAGCTGTTCAGAAGTGGCATTTGTCCCTAATTTAAAGCAGCACTTGTTGGAGCACTTGGTCTGCAGAAGGACTGGCATCCACAGTGACGCAGGCAAAGCCCTCAATCTGGTGGCAAGCCTCCTCCACTCTGCAGACAAAGAGAATAGGCAACTACAGTATGTCCCACAAATTACCACAGCACTTACAAACTGGGTCAGCAGTACTTTTGAGATGGTACACCAAATTAATTGTTTTTCCTGATCCCATGACTCTACCAGGAAAAATGAAACACTCAGGGCCCTTAGGATAAGTAATGCTATAAAATGATGGTCACAGTGGTTTTCTAGACTTGTATGTCAATTTTAGACTGCAAATTGCTATGCCTTTGCCTAGTCCATCCATACAATGTAATATATTTCACACAATAAGTACCAAAACATATGGCAGCCCTAGTGGACATTGAGCAATAGTAAGAACGATGGTCTAGAATATATATATTTTTTAACTGACAACACAAAATCATTATGAAAGGGGTATGGACAGGTGATGGACTGAGTCCCAGAGTCCAGACTGTCAACAGTGATCAACAGCGGTCTTCCTTGAGGATAACGACTGCTGGTTGAACATCTGGTGAGCCCATGTGGAAAGCATTCATCCCAAATGGCATCCTATTCCCTATATAGTCCACTACGTTTGACCAGAGCCCTATGGGCCCTATGGGCCCTGCTCAAAAGTAGTGCACTATGTAGGGAATAGGGTGCCATTTGGGATGAAGCCCATGATGTCAGTGGGGAGAATGAATGAAAGTTGCCATCGACCAGTCTGACTAGTAGCAGTGCGTTTAGACCAGCTTAATGGAGCAGACCAGCTCAGCAACTAATCACTTGTTCTTTCCTCATCAGCTGGTTCCCCAAGGGATGGTAAATGATTGTTAAATGTTTGATGGGTCAGACTTAAAACCGAGCGGACCTGACAAACTGTGTGTGTGTCTGTGTCTGTACACGCAGTGTGTGCGTGCTTGCGCGTGTGTGCGCGTGTGTGTGTTGTGGGGGTCAGGATATGTGTGCGTCTGTATATTGTCTATAAAAGTGGATCCTCGTGATTCTATTGTCCTTCCTTTTTAGACCACATAGGAATAATACAATACTTCAAATGGTAGGCTAAACGATGCGTCTGGTTCTCTCTCTCTCTCTCTCTTTCTCTCTCTGTGGTGACTTAAAAAAGAGTAAAGTTAAGGCCTCAACATCTTGCTGAATTTATCTGAACTAATATCTATCTGAATTCCTGTCGCTGTCCATTTCGAAATTGCTGAACGAATAGGCCTACCTCATCGCAGTGTGCTTGCACTTGCTTATATTTAAGAGCTACGTGTTAATTATATAAGAACAAACATTGTGAATTTACTGAACATAAATGTAATAATGTTTGTGTATGGTTCAAAACTCAAAACTCATGTCGACATTCATTATTATTGAAGGAGAGTGCGGTTCTTATCCAGTTACACAAATCCACAAGGAGTCAGTAGAAACCATATTTATTTAAGCAAGTCAGCCATAAACTCCACTCTCGGGACAGCTTTATGTAGACCCTAAAAGTTTGTGGGCACCGTTTGTCACTGTTATAGTAGATTTAATGTATTGTTTAGAGTTGTGTAGTGGCTTAACTGACATGCATACAAATAAAAATACATGTTTTCTCCACCAAGATTGACATGCTAAAATCGCCACTGATTATGCGTCTTGCAATCTTTAATGAAAACCCGAGCAAAATTTATTTTCAGCTGAATCACGAACGATTTTGGAAACTTAGGAAGAAACGAAACTTGTCGTGCTGTACAAGCAAACCAAAACTTTAGCGAATGTGAAACTTGATGCAATTTCGGACGGAGATAATGCTGCGTTCATGTTATATCGGAAACTAGGACCTAAGTAGTATGCCGCGTTCTCGTCCAAGTCGGAACTAGGAAACTCATAAATGTTTTCCCCAACAAGATTGACATGCTAAAATCGCCACTGATTATGCATCTTGCAATCTTTAATCAAACCCCGAGCAAAATTAATTTTCAACTGAATCACAACTCACGCGCACGGTTAACGATTTTGGAAACTGAGGGAGAAAACGAAACTTGGCGTGCTGTACAAGCAAACCGAAACTTGAGCGAATGTGAAACTTGATGCAATTTCGGACTGAGATAATGCTGCATTCATGTTATGTCGGAAACTAGGACCTAGGTATTATGCCGCGTTCACATCCAAGTCGGAACTAGGAAACGCGAAAATGTCCGACTTGCTAACTGGTTGGAGTTATACACATGGCGTGTTCAACAATCCGCAAGTCGAAAATGTCAGAGTTTACTAGTTCCGACTAGCATGTGAACGCGGCATTAAAATGAACAATTTGCGTTGACCTTCCTATTGGTTGATTCTGATCCTTCCCAAGTGGAAAACTTGCGATCCGACTCTTCCGCCTAGGTTACCAAGTCGGACATTTCCGAGTTTCAGACAGAACATGAACCAGGATGCACCTATGGCTGTCAAGTTCTGTTCGGTTCGGTCACATACATTAAGCAAAAACAGCGGATCAGCTAATTTGCATGGAGCTTTAGGATATGACAGCCTTTTCTCATGTAGGCATGTAGGACTGAATTTAATACGAGGTTATGATTTTATATTCAACAGTGTAACTTTCGTTTTCCTTATTGGTAAATAGAAAGTGTGGGTGGGTGTGTGCAGGAGACGCGTCACTTAGGCTATTACGGTATAAAGAGATTCAAGCTATTCCTACATCAGAAGTTTCAACAGGACAGATAGGTGAAGACTAGCAATGTTGTTCTCTACTCAAGTCGTGTTTGTGAAGATGTCCCTGCAACTCTGCATAAGTAACATCCAGTACATCTTTGCAACTGTCCTGGCCTGGATAGGTGTCCGTTGTCCGCAGGTGCACAGAGCATCACCGTTGACATCTACAGGAAAAGTCAATCTAGTCAAGGTGTTGCAAAATAATATATCTCAACCAGCGACAACTCCAAGCAGTGTCAATTATCATTTTACGCGACAATGCAATTATAAGTGCGGTTTTTGTTTCCACACGGCAAAAACGTCTTTTGTCCTACCCATTGAGGAAGCAAAGAGAGGTTTACAGCTTCTGAAGCAATCAGGTAAGTTTGCCCAAATTATCCTATTTATTTATGATATCGCTAAATCCCAATTTAAATTCACATGATATGTTATTACATTATTATTACAGCCTATTTCTGTCTAATTTAATGTTTTATTCAGTGTTTAGAATTCTGAATTTCATGTTGTTGTTTTTTTTGCAGGACTGGAAAAGATTAACTTCTCTGGTGGAGAGCCTTTCTTACAGGACAGAGGTGATTTCTTGGGTAAATTAGTCCAGTACTGCAAACAAGACCTCCATCTCCCAAGTGTCAGTATTGTCAGCAATGGCAGCATGATCAGAGAGAAGTGGTTCCAGAAATATGGTAAGATGGTTTTCATTTTAAAGAATATATAGTACCAACGTTAAGCCACTGGTCTTCATTATATCGAACAGCTCCCATAAACACACAGTCTTGAGTCACAGAGTTTCTAAACCCAGAGTCACAGCATCGCACAACTTCCGGGAACGCTTGCGAAACAGACAAAACAGACCAGGCCGGAGTTTAAGAAGTCAATGAGAGAAGTGGAAAATTCTAAAAGCACAACCTAGATTCGAGCCAATGTGTTTTTAAGTAGTTGAACATGTTATTACTCCAACCTGGTGAAAGTGTCAAACTGACACATTTTAATTTTCATCAAAACAACTTTATATCGAAGGAGTGCCTTTGAGTTGACAGTTTGCACATGCGCAGTTAGGGTTGTGACGCCCGTTAGACCCGATTACGTGTTTCTACACAAGAGCATTGCTAGCCAACATCGCCATGACATCACCTACAAGTGTGATCGGGGATTTATATTTGAGAGGCAGTTTTAGCCTATCTTAATACTTTACAATCTTCATTATTCTCATGCGCGGTCAGGTAAATAAATTCATTTTATTCACACTAGATGTCAGCACCGGGTTAGTTTTGAGATGAGGTCACAAACTCAGAGAAACATTTCACACTTTCAAATTCTTCGCGGTGGAGTTATATAATGTTGGACACATTATTAAAAGCATGATTTGATCATCACAGTGTTATTAAAAACGACTTGTTGATTTTTATCTCAATACATCTTAACTATCACACGTTGTAGGCTATGCCATAAATTGTATGTCTGGATGTTAATACATTTTGAATACATGCGTGTTTCAAAATACAATTCTTTGAGATTATGTCAGTTTTAAAATCAGAACTCTCCTTGTCCTCACAGGCCAATACCTGGACATTCTGGCCATTTCCTGTGACAGCTTTGACGAGGACACCAACCAGACTATAGGCAGAGCCCAGGGCAGGAAGAGCCACCTTGACAACCTCTTCAAAGTCCGGGAGTGGTGCCGGGACTACAAAGTGGCGTTCAAAATCAACTCTGTGATCAACACATTTAATATGGATGAAGACATGAGAGAAAACATCACCGAACTCAACCCTGTACGCTGGAAGGTAAGGGTGTTCCAATGCATTTACATTACTCACCAGTAATGCTGTATCTGTGTTGTGAATAGAGGTTTCTTCTCCTACCATAGATGTAAAAAATTAGTTGTATGGCCTTGACTTTGTGTGTGTGTGTGTGTGTGTGTGTGTGTGTGTGTGTGTGTGTGTGTGTGTGTGTGTGTGTGTGTGTGTGTGTGTGTTTGTGTCTACTGTGTCTAGGTGTTCCAGTGTCTGCTGATCGATGGGGAGAACGCTGGGGACAACAGTCTGAGGGAGGCAGAGAGTTTTGTCATCAGCGACCAGCAGTTTCAGGACTTCCTGGAAAGACACAGCACGATCAGCTGCCTGGTACCTGAGTCCAATAAGAAGGTATGGGACTGGACTAAAGACGACACAATATTATTTTTTTAATGGTCAGTTATTGATATTATGATGATTCAACAACTACTACTACTAAAATATATATATATATATATATATATATATATATATATATAAAAAATTAAAATAAATAATGGATGCACTCTAACTGTAAGTCGCTCTGGATAAGAGCGTCTGCTAAACGACTAAAATGTAAATGTAAAATGTACTCCTTGTAGTTTCAGAATGCTATTAAGGTGTGGAATAGGCCTAATGTAATCTACTAACACAATTCATCACTTACAGTGCATTCCAAAAGTATTTAGACCTCTTCCCTTTTTCCACATTTTGTTACGTTACAGCCTTATTATAAAATGGATACAATTATTTTGTTTACCCTCATTTACACACAATACCCCATAATGACGAAGTGAAAACAGGTTTTTATAACTTTTTTGCAAATGTATAAAAATAATATAAAAAATACCTTATTTACATAAGTATTCAGACCCTTTGCTATGAGACTCAAAATTGAGCTCAGGTGCATCCTGTTTCCATTGATCATCCTTGAGATGTTTCTACAACCTGATTGGAGTCCACCTGTGGTCAATTCAATTGATTGGACATGATTTGAAAAGGCACACACCTGTCTATATAAGGTCCCACTGTTGACAGTGCATGTAAGAGCAAAAACCAAGCCATGAGGTCGAAGGAATTGTCCGTAGAGCTCCGAGACTGGATTGTGTGGAAGCACAGATCTGGGGAAGGGTACCAAAAAATGTCTGCAGCATTGAAGGTCCCCAAGAACACAGTGGCCTCCATCATTCTTAAATGGAAGAAGTTAGGAACCACCAAGACTCTTCCTAGAGCTGGCCGCCCGGCCAAACTGAGCAATCGGGGAAGAAGGTCCTTGGTCAGGGAGGTAACCAAGAACCCGATGGTCACTCTGACAGAGCTCCAGAGTTACTCTATGGAGATAGGAGAACCTTCCAGAAGGACAACCATCTCTGCAGCACTCCACCAATCAGGCCTTTATGGCAGAGTGGCCAGACGGAAGCCCACTCCTCAGTAAAAAGGCACATGACAGCCTGCTTGGAGTTTGCCAAAAGGCACCTGAAGGACTCTCAGACCATGAGAAACAAGATTCTCTGGTCTGATGAAACCAAGATTGAACTCTTTGGCCTGAATGCCAAGTGTCACGTCTGGAGGAAACCTGCCACCATCCCTACGGTGAAGCATGGTGGTGGCAGCATCATGCTGTGGGGATGTTCTTTAGTGGCAGGGACTGGGAGGATCGAGGGAAAGATGAACGGAGCAGAGTACAGAGAGATCCTTGATGAAAACCTGCTCCAGAGAGCTCAGGACCTCAGACTGGGGCGGATGGTTCACCTTTCAACAGGACAACGACCCGAAGCACACAGCCAAGACGACGCAGGAGTAGCTTCGGGACAAGTCTCTGAATGACCTTGAGTGGCCCAGCCAGAGCCCGGACTTAAACCCGATCGAACATCTCTGGAGAGATCTGAAAATAGCTGTGCAGCGACGGTCCCCATCCAACCTGACAGAGCTTGAGTGGATATGCTGAAAAGAATGGGAGAAACTCCCCAAATACAGGTGTGCCAAGCTTCTAGTGTCATACCCAAGAAGACTCAAGGCTGTAATCGCTGCCAAAGGTGCTTCAACAAAGTACTGAGGAAAGTGTCTGAATACTAATGTAAGTGTGATATTTCAGTTTTTTATTTCTAAGAAATTTGCAAAATAATCTAAAAACCTGTTTTTACTTTGTCATTATGGGGTATTGTGTGTAGATTAATAATAAACATATTCAATCAATTTTAGAATAAGGCTGTAACGTAACAAAATGTGGAAAAAGTCAAGGGGTCTGAATACTTTCCGAATGCACTGTATATCAGACCTACGCAATATTGTCCACACAAAAAAACATTAGTCCGTGACAATATTGTACATAATACAGAATAGTTGTGACATTAACATGTTTCCTTGTTGTCTTATCTTGTCAGATGAGAGATTCCTACCTCATCCTGGATGAATATGTAAGTCCTTTTCATCAATCTGTTATTTTACATGATACGCATTCTACATTCCAAGTCTTAGCATGCCGTTTAAAGTAGACAGTCCTCATCCATCAGTCCTCATCCATCAGTCCTCATCCATCAGAACTATTGAACAGCCATCTAAATGCTCTCATCGATTGAGATGTATAGACATGCACCTTCCCATATTAAGTCCCAGAGTAGTCTATGGCTTCAATCTTCAATCAGAGTGTATTTACAGGCTTTGAGATGGGTGAAAGGAGATGTGGATTTGCAGATATTTATCTTAGTATTAGATATGAGGTTTCATAGTAGTGATATTTTGATAAGGACCACCATGTTCAAGATGCTCTTTTCTGACCCGTTGGTAACACTTCATAATAACTTTAATGAATAAGCCTTTATAAATGCTTATAAATGCTTTATAAATGATTATACCTTTTCTAAACGCTAATGAATTAGAAGTTTTGATGTGCTTTTTTTTTAGATGCGTTTCCTGGATTGCAGAGCGGGGAGGAAGGATCCATCCAAGTCCATCCTTGATGTTGGCGTGGAGGAGGCCATTCAGTTCAGTGGCTTTGACGAGAAGATGTTCCTAAAGAGAGGAGGAAAATATGTGTGGAGCAAAGCTGACATGCGGCTAGAGTGGTGATCCACACATTATAATCAGTTACTGCTACACTTTTTGTCTGTACTTGTCAGTGTTTTTATTTTTATAGTTGTATTTAATGGATAACATAAATAGGAAACAAATAAAATTATAACAGTAGGCTACACCAACATTAGTTTCCATTCATACAAAGTGTTGGGTAAATTGCCACTGAAGGTTTGCTGTGGTAAGCGAGGATAAACTTTTATTCAATTGTATGGAATGCTTGTCAAATAGATAAATCGTCCTTAGTCTGTTCAAAAAGGACTACGTTGTTCCGATAATAATACCAACCAGAGGGCGGTAATGAGGTAATGAGGTGATGAGGTAATGAGGTAATGAGGTAATGAGGTGACCAATAATGGTTGCAATTGAGATCAGCTGTGCGTGTGAATTTAGAACATATTGATGGTTTAACGAGACATCAGCTGGAGATAATCTAGTGACGTCGATGGTTGCAATAGGCCCCTTGTTTTTTTGATTATATTCCAATACATTCTGTAGGCCATGCATTAGCCTATCCATTGTCACATAATGAAAGATGTGAAAACCGATAATAGCCTACTGTTTATGTTTCCCTGGCTGAGTTGATGAGCTCATTTGGGCCATCAGTTGATTGACAGCTAATTGAACAGCTTGTTGAACAGCTGATTTCACCCTTCCCACTCCTGCAATTAGCGCCAACCTTGTCTCTTTAATCATGCGATAATGATTTGGTCATTATCATTCAAGAATCTGGCACTTTGCCGCACCAATGTGTTAATGTTAAAGTCCTCCCACCGCTAAATTGCATATTATTAGGCCTAGCCTATATCTTCATCATACAGTATGATCATTATATTATACAAGCCTATTATTATTATTTCTTAAAGGTATTTTTTAAAGGAGTGGGACAGTCCCACACCTTTTGTAATTTTTTTGCTTTCATTGAAGATCTTTTGAAAGTTATTGGAGCAATGCATTTTGGGCAATGGTGTTCTACACTGCCTTTTTTTGTGTCCCACATTTATTTATATAAAAAACCCAAAGTGTTAACAACCCAATATTGTTAATCAACCAGGTTGTTACCGAAATACTTATAATATAATAGTAGCCTTACGTTTATTTTTATTAATGCCAATGCTGTTTTCTATGCTTGTTTTCGCTTAATACTTTGGGATACTGGTGCTATGTCGGATTTTATGAGGGTTGTCAGATTGGAGTAAAAAGCTGTATTTGTCTGTTTTTTTGTGTGGTATCGATGAAGGTATTTGAATGGGGAATGGGGATACATTTTCATGATGGGAAATTAATTTATCAATAAATGTGGGGAAACAGAAGACCTGCAAAAAAATTCTGCTTGGTTTAAATTTCCCTGGTGCTACTGAATGGTATTTACAACTAAAATGAGTCTGGACTATGATCAATTAACCCATATCAATGCAGGTTAATCTAAAATAATGAATTATGTTGGCTTACACTTATGGCACTTCCAAGGCTGTTTCATGATGATTATTACGGTCGTGTCAATCATGTTATACTCTTAGGCTATTGTAACAAGGCATATGCCAGCATTGTTGGCCTACTGCCTCTGCTTACTAGGCTTTCATGGCAAAGGCCATTAGAGCTCACTTTGCCATGTATGAGCCCTGGTTAGAGTCCCTGTTGCAGCTTTCACTTTCTTCCGCTACACTGGTGGCAGCGTTGGGATCACGTCAAGCTCACGTCTAGTTATGTGATCTAGTGGTGGGAAGCATTCTGTTTTTCAACTTTGTGTTGGGCGTAATTACATTGATATATGGGCGTGATGGATAGAAGTAGTCAATACAGGTGGGATCAAGCCTTGCATAAAAGTTGACGGAAGCTGAATGGAAAGTGCTATGCCCTGACCAGTTATTCAGAAGAAAATCCTCTGTGACTGTCTAATTTACATAAGTTAACTTAACAATGTGGACCCAAAACAAACACATTCTACACATTTACAAACTACCTGTTTAAAGTGTTATTACAACCATGGTGTTATTTTGTTACTGAAGCTTATATATCAAATAACCTGACAATGATCCACATCATATGGGTAGACAAATAATGTGTGTTATGCACACTTGGTGGGGCAAACTGAAAAAAATAAATGTTTATGAATGCCAGCAAAGCCACAACACAACACTAAACAATACATTAATTGCACTATAATGGTGACAAACGGTGCCCACAAACTGTTAGGGCCTACATAAAGCTGTCCCAACAGCAGAGTCCCAACACCTTACTACTGCTACACCTGGCTATCAGCGGAGCCTTGTCTGGCAGCGAAACAGTTAATTCAGCTTAATTTACTGCCTTTAAAAAATATATAGCTGATATGGCTGACTTGCTTAAACAAATGTGCTTTCTACTGACAAGTGAGATGTACAAACTATGGCATAAGGGGACGACAAGCGGATAAGAAGCAATCCGTGATTTTGATTAATACATTAATGAGCGAGCTAGGACGGACGTAGCCAAGCTATTTGTTCAGCACTTTTGAAATGTACAGCGACAGAATTCAGAACATGGGCCGTTCTTACAGTATTCTCCCTGTACACCAAGTCAGAACCGTAGGATAAATAAAGGGGGCATATAAGCAGACAATGAAAGTTCTTACAATATTCAATGATTACGTTTCTCTAAAACAGGCTATAGGCTACATGTGCACCACCAAGTCAGAACAGTAGGCTAAGTTATGAGGGGAAAAGGAACCAAATTATTAGGGTGAGGCACATGGGCTGCTAACAGCTTACTACAAATCATACACTTAGTATTACTTTCTCCCTGGCATATTACATCATTTATGCAGCAGCATACAAGACATTTGCTGTGGCGCAGCGGTCCTTCGTGGGCAAATTTTGTCATCAAACTTTGTCATCAAAGTCTGGCATTCTCTGGATTTATGGTGCTTTCAAGACAACTGGGAACAAGGTCGAATCATGAGGTCAGTGATCTTCAGGTCGGAGCTCTAGAAAGAGGCCAGAGTTCCCGACTTGGAATTCTGAGTTGGATGACCGTTCAAAACTTATTTTCCCAGTGGGAGCTCGTTTGTTTCCGAGTTGCCAGTTGTCTTGAACTCACTGAAGTCTGAGATTTCCTAGTTCCGAGTTTCCAGTTGTTTTGAACGCGGCAGAAGTCATGCTGGATTGACAGCATGGCCAAAGTTGAATGTTTATCCTTTTAAACTTGGAAAAGAGACCATTAAACCCAGACTTGGACCACACATCCACTCCACCACTGAATATCAGACTAGTGATTGCTTTGCAATGCTTGCAGTTAGCCACTGATTTCTTCCAAACCACTCATTGTTGAATTTGCGATTTCCAACTTGTTGTGTAATGTTTATGGGCAATGGCCCATGAGCACCGATACGTTTTATCTATAATTTCTCTTCATAATTTCTCTTCATATGACAAGGATTGAAAAGGATTTGCCAGTAGATTGTCGACTTGATTCATGATGATGACTGCTAGCTTGCTAGCGAAGTCTGATGTTGACATGATCAGTCCAATCAAAGCTACGGTAGATATAATTTGACATCATTTTATCTGTGGCCAATGACCTTGATCCTTCTTGGATGGGCACTTATAATGTAACTCTATGGAAGCACCCAAGGGTCTTGAATATATGAGCTCTCCCCGTAGATTTTGCCGTGACGTAGTGTCCCCATGAGTGACAGAACACTCAGCCAATCACGGCGCAACTAGAGAACATTACCAACCCCTACGCTCCGTATTTTCCACTGGCTGCCCCACCACCACAGAAAGCACTGAGCTAGGCTGAAACACCTGCATTTTGGAGCTGCCTTACTCATGAAAGCAAAAAAGACACCATGTTGTATGTGGCTTTATTAACTCAATTATTTTTTTTGTTTTACATTGTTTGCAAATTGATATGTGACACATATTAATGCCAAAATAACAGGCACAACAATTTTGTATTTTTTATATATACAGTACCAGTCAAAAGTTTGGACACAACTACTCATTCAAGGGTTTTTCTTTATTTTTACTATTTTCTACATAGAGAATAATAGTTAAGACATCAGACCTATGAAATAACACATATGGAATCATGTAGTAACCAAAAAAGTATTAAACAAATATATTTTATATTTGAGATTCTTCAAATAGCCACCCTTTGCCTTGATAACAGCTTTGCACACTCTTGGCATTCTCTCAACCGGCTTCACCTGGAATGCTTTTCCAACAGTGTTGAAGGAGTTCCCACATATGCTGGGCAGTTGTTGGCTGCTTTTCCTTCACTCTGCCGTCCGACTTATCCCAAATCATCTCAATTGGGTTGAGGTCGGGGGATTGTGGAGGCCAGGTTATCTGATGCAGCACTCCATCACTCTCCTTCTTGGTAAAATAGCTCTTACACAGCCTGGAGGTGTGTTGGGTCATTGTCCTGTTGGAAAACAAATGATAGTCACACTAAGCCCAAACCAGTTGTGATGGAGTATTGCTGCAGAATGCTGTGATAGCCATGCTGGTTAAGTGTGCCTTGAATTCTAAATAAATCACAGACAGTGTCACCAGCAAAGCACCCCCACACCGTAACACCTCCTCCTCCACGGTGGTTGGAACCAAAAATCTCAAATTTGGACTCCAGACCAAAGGACACATTTCCACCGGTCTAATGTCCATTGATCTGGTTTCTTGGCCCAAGCAGGACTCTTCTTATTATTGGTGTCCTTTAGTAGTGGTTTCTTTGCAGCAATTCGACCATGAAGGCCTGATTCACACAGTCTCCTCTGAATAGTTGATGTTGAGATGTTTCTGGGACTTGAACTCTGTGAAGCATTGATTTGGGCTGCAATTTCTGAGGCTGGTAACTCTAATGAACTTATCCTCTGCAGCAGAAAGGTAACTCTGGGTCTTCCATTCCTGTGGCGGTCCTCATGAGAGCCAGTTTCATCATAGAGCTTGATGGTTTTTGAACATTTTCGTATTGACTGACCTTCATGTCTTAATGTAACGATGGACTGTCGTTTCTCTTTGCTTATTTGAGCTGTTCTTGCCATAATATGGACTTGGTCTTTTACCAAATAGAGCTATCTTCTGTATACCA